CTTCTTATCGTGACAAGAATAAATGGTAGTATCATCAGCAAACAATGCCACCTTAGATGTGAGAATATCTAGAAGATTGTTAATGTAAATTAAAAAGAGTATAGGGCCAAGGATTGTACCTTGGGGAACCCCTGAGGTTACAGAATAAGAAGAAGAGTGCTGTCCATCAAGGACAACTTTTATACTACAATTGGAAAGAAAGGATTCAATAATCTTAAAGATGTTTCCAGATACACCATAAGAAGAAAGCTTATGGAGAAGACCAGCATGCCAAACTTTATCAAACGCTTTAGAAATGTCAAGAGCGATGGCCTTAACATCTCCACCTTTATCTAATGCGCGATAAAACCTATTGGTTATTACTGTTAGCAAATCAGCTGTAGAACAAGAAGATCGAAATCCATATTGATGATCAGAAAGTAGGTCATAAGATTCGAGATAAGAGATTAAGTGTTTGTTAATTAAAGATTCAAAAACCTTGCTTATGATAGGAAGAAGACTAATGGGACGGTAGTTAGATGAATCAGATCGCTCTCCAGAATTTTTAAAAATAGGGATAACAAATGCTGCTTTCCAGCAGGCTGGAAAACAAGACTCTGATAAGCACTTGTTAAATAGTTTTGAAAAGAAACACGACAGCTCCGGAGAACACTTCTGCAAGACTATAACAGGTATGTTGTCCCGGCCGCAAGCTGTAGAAGAGTCTAAGCGAGAAATCACTTTAGATACAGAAACTGGAGTGATACGAATGTCGAGCAATGGATCAACCTGTTTGACGGCTATATCAGGTAGAACGCAACTAGTGGCATCAAGAGATGATATTGATGAAAAGTTCTTGGCAAACAATTCAGCTTTGTCTTTAGGTGAGGTGACAAAGTCTGAATCATACAAAAAAGGTGGAATTACAGACTTGCCTTTATTATTGATACTATTAAAGATTCTCCAGAAGTCACGAGAGTCTAATTTTTGTGATGAAATACGAGATTTCATGATCTGAGAATAGCGAGCTTTGGCGTTAGACAAAACCTTTTTACAATGGTTGCTAGCAGTAATAAACAGACGTCTGTTTTCTGGAGAATTGTTTTGCTGATAGATATGGAAGTAATGGTTTCGATTGGCAATTGCAGCAGCACAATGTGAGGAAAACCATGGAGAAGAGTGAGGCTTGACCTGGAATCGTCGAGAGGGAATAAAGGATTCCATGCCAGCCTGAATCCACGAAGTTATGTAAGAAGCACATTTGTCAACAGGGAGACAAAAGATTTCTACCCAGGGGCCATCATGAAGAAAATCACGGAAAGAGTAACAGTCAACTTTAAGGTAGTTGTAAGATGTATGATGATAGGGGGATTCTGATGGTAAAGAAGAATGAGATAATAGTTTTAGAGAGACCAAACCATGATCAGACACACCTAAGGGTGAGTGTGAAGAAACTGAGCACTGACTAGGATCAGAAACAAGACATAAGTCGAGTAGAGAAGGTAAATGATTCGGGTTGTCTGGAAAGCGAGTTGGAAAGTTGACTATTTGAGTTAGGGATTGAGAAAGACAAAAGTTGTGGGCCTTAATGCCTCCAGAGTCACTAACACTAGAGCCAAGCCATTCAGTGTGATGAACATTAAAGTCACCGACAACAACAATATTGGCTGATGGATGAAGAATGAGGGCTTGGTCAATATAATCAGAAATAACATCAAGAAGAGAACAGAAAGGTGATGGAGTGAAGTGGTGCTAAACAAAAGCACATAAAAGAGTAGTCTGAGGATTCAAACCTAGTTTCCCGACAAATGGGTGAACTCTTACGAATGTAAATGCCCAGGCCAAGCATGTGACTATTGGAGTCTTTACGAATTAAAGGAAGATAACCATTAACACTAAGATCACAAGATGAAACAGCTGAACTCAAATTAGTCTCACAAAGAGCAAGTAGGTCTGGTGAACTTTGCAAGAGGTAAGACTCAATAGAAGATAAGTTACTTCGAAGACCACGAATATTGGTGAATGATAGGTTTAGCGAACTTGGTGATGGCTGTGGTTTTTTGTGTTTGATAGTTTTTGTTACTTTATTCATTTTTAGATTTGTTAAAGAATTTGACTTAAAACATAGATAGTACTCAGTACACTGTTTTATAGCTCAAGCTATTGCCTCATTTCCACTAATAAACCCTAAGCCGTAACAAAGGACTCCAATGTGGCCTTGGCAATGCACACCAAAAGTACAAACAGGGACACCATCCATGCGCAACATGGCACTGTTAGTACTCTGATATTTTTCAGCTGTTGATGGAATCAGCCTCTCTGAGAGCTACCACAGAGTTCGGGAAACCTGACTACCAGCCGGCCTCAGAACCATAAAACTGAGTTTTAGAGCTGTACCCTCATTAGGAGATAATAGAATGAGTTGCCCAGTCATAAAAACAGAGACACAAGCAAAACCCACGCAGTCAAGAAGATTCAGCGTTCAACATCCTAAACTGGAAACAATGTATTAAAAATACATCAGCGCCAGGCTAATAGATGAGGAAGGGGTGCGAGACTGGTCAACAGATAGAATCTGTTTACCCCTTAAGTCTTTGCCTAGGAGGCCTTCTACAAGACAGCAGCTGGATGCATGTAACATCTGCCCAAGATGAGTATTTTTATCGAGACACCATCTCTAGCCTTTACTCAACCAAGAGCCCCAAGGCAGGGGGTGTTTTATGTCGGAGTTTGCATCTCCTAGCCTTTTCCTAAAAAGGTATATCCTACAAGGCAGCAGGACATGAAGCAGATTGTACTGGGTTACATGTTACCAGTAGCAGGATAAACCTGACCTGACATAAATGACTGACAATAACATAAAAATTTACTCAAAGTTTTTTGGAAATAAGTTTAAAAAAACAATAACTCAAAAAATATATTATAGACTTAAACCTTATACTAAATAAACAAATAATTTCATAATCACATTAACTGTTATTATTTTGTAGTAACATCTTTACTTACATTAAGATTCTTTAAACAACACAAGTTTCGGACGTCTTTATACTTAAGTAATAAGTATTTTAAAAATAAACCAATAACTTTGTACAGTGATAATATTCCCATTGATAGTGCTCAAAAACAGATCATTAGGTTTTATTAGGGCTTACGAATAAAAAGAGAGTGAGAATAAGCCTACAATAAAAATACATTTAAAAAAAGCCTTAATTTGAAACTCTTTCTCGTTATCTCCTAATATTGTCCATATAGGTCACACCAAAGGGAGTTTTTTTCTATATTAATGTATTGATCTTATGTAACAATCTTACCTCTTAAGTGGTTTAATTGCTCAATTTGCTGATGATACAATTATATACTCCAGTTTTTATAAAAATCATAAATATTTGAACCACTTATTTAAAGTCATCCTTAAATGCCAACACTCTTCTTCATTTCCAGTAACTTTTGCGGCACCTCAAGGTTTTATCCTTAATCCTGTTGTGTTTCTTATCTATATTAGTGATCTTCCTGGCAACCTTACATCTTAAGTGGCTCTATTTGCTGGTGACTCAACTTTATACTACTGCCTTGACAAAAATTCAATCTTGAATCTGGTCTAACCTCTGTAACAGATTGAGGTTTGTGTGGCTTGTGAATTTAAACTTCAACCAAACTTAGTTATTTACTACAAATAACTATATTATACAAATAGCAATACTGTTGACATTCCTATATTGATAAATAGCAAGCCCTTCACTGAGTCCTCTTCTCGGATTATTATTCACTTATCACCCTTCATGGAAACCATATATACAATTGCAAAAAAAAAGCAGCTGCTAAAGTTGCTTCTTTTTATCAAGCTATTTTCTTACTCTCGATTTCATTTTTACCTCTGCTAATCTCTTTTTTTCCCCTGTTTGGAATAATGTTGTCATATTTAGACTGGTTCTTCCAATGATGCTCTTATTTCTCAAGATAAGGTCCAAATATGCATTGTAAATGTAGTTGTGTAGTACCTGCTCTATCTGTCAAGCTAGAGCCTCTCTTTCAACGTCGTCAAGTTGCATCTCTGTTCTACAAATACTAACATGGTCCCTACTTAAAGGAGCATTCATCTCTAGTTCTATAAACTCATTTTTGCTTGACTCGTCATTTAGCAAAGTCTCACCTCTTTACTGTATCTGTACCTGTATGCCATAAAAAATTTTATTTGTTTAGTTTTTTCTTCTTAATTGAACCCTTTGGAACTTTCGCCCGTAATCATGTTTTTCTAACTCATACAGCCTACAAATTTTCAATTCTTGTGTCAACCAAATTGTTACTCTTTAACTCTATTCTTTATTTTCTAATAACTTAACAGTTATTAGAACTTTAAAATAACAAAAATGTGTCAACTCTGAATGTAACAAATACATTATAAACATTTGCAGCCACTTGTTAAAAGAACACAAAAGACTTATCTGGTGTACAACTTTTATAATTAGACACCAAAAGCATATGATTACAAATAATTTTATTTAATAGGAAGAACTTTTTATTTGATCTTATTGGACACACATTATTTTGAAATATTTCTTTTAAGGCAATGATCTCTAATCTTCTTTGCATTTTATCAACACTTTTAAGAAGGCCAGAATTGTATAAAAGCTGGCATACCAAATAAAGATAGATGGATATCAAAAGGTAGATAGATGCTAATGGTAGAAAGATATCACAACAAAGTAATACAAAAAAAATCTTGAAAAATCATCAACAAATTCATCAAAGCTAAATTCTTTAAACTTTTTCTTGAAATCAATTACTGAAATGGCATTGACAACTTTTCTATGCAAACAATTACACTTTTTAAATACAGTGGGTTGCCAAATTATTAGGGACACTTTACTTTGTAAGTAATTTTAAAGTACAAACTACTTTAATGAATAAATATGTATCTTATTGTTATTTTTTTTTATTGTTTTTATTGGTAGAGAGTTTTATTTAGAATATAAAACAACATTATTACTTATTCATTGCTATTTATTTTTTTATAAAAAGTTTGAAAACATGACAAATAAGGTAATAATCTTAATATTTTGTAATGCCAGCCTTAGCTACAATAATAGCTTTCAGGCATCTGGGCATGCTATCTATGTAGACTTCTGCATTGTGTTGGAGACTGAGGTTGCTATTCCACTCTCTTATAAGGATTTCTATCAATTGCTGCTTGGTAGTGATAATTTTTTTTGGCAATTTTCTGTTTTATGAACTGTCATAAATTTTCTATAGGGTTAATATCAGGTGAATTCCCTGGCCATGGCAAAACATGCATTTTTTTTTCAGTTAGGAATGCTGTAACACTTCTAGCTTTATGGGACGGTGCTGAGTCATGCGTGAACATATACTCTTCATTACCAGGGAACCATTCTTAGACCTGGAGCAGGAGCCTGTTTTCCAGTAATCGCTTGTAGGAAGGAACCATATGGCAGGACCAATCCTGCTTCATGGTTCCTTCCACAATGTAAAGGCAGCCCATACCCTTGGCTGAGATCACAGACCACACCTCTACACTCACAGGATGTTGAACCTTTTCTAAAAAGCAGTCCTAGTGAAATTTTTTTCTGGGCATCGTCGAACAAATGAGCTTTTGTCCATCAAAATTTGAAATGCTGATTGGTCCGAGAAGCAGACCTGTAAAACATTTTAAAGATATTTTACCTGCAAAATATTTCAAAGATATTTCAAAAATAAATATTTATCCTTAAATTTTTCTGGCTTCTTACAATATTATAAATTATATTTACTCTACTCCAGTCTTCAATAGTCATATTCTGGTGTTTTCTAGCCCATTCCAGTCACTTTTTTTTCATGGCTTCAGTTAAACATTCTTTTTTTGGTTGGACGATAACACACTAAATTCTCATCAATCAACCGTCCCTGAACTGTCCTTTTGGAGACGTTAATTCCTTCATTGTTTGTAATTATAGCTAGTTGAGCCACATTTTTTTTTCTGTTTTCAAGACAGATGTCTTTAAATTTACGGTCATAACATGGAGTAGTGATCCTTTTCTGCCACTTTTGCTGACATGGTCTGGTTCTAGAGTCACATTTGTATCATTTTTTTAAAATTCGACTCACTACTGACTTTGAAACACTTGCAACCTCTCTCTGAGAATGCGTAGAATGAAGAAGTAAGGTTTTTACTTTTCTGTTTTTTTTTTGGGTTAAGTCTGGAGACTAAAAAAAATAACGAGAGGTAAGAATAGTTGTATGTCAGGGATTTATGCATTAAAACTAGCAAAAATACTAAATTAATAACTAAACTAATTGAACTATTAACGAATATTTAGGTTTCAATAGTTTTAAACTCAAAAAACTTGCAAAAAATTGTTCCAAAAATAAGTAACTGAAATCAATTTTGAATTTTTGACTTTCAACCACATATTTCAAAAATTGACAGCTAATTGAGTAATAACCTAACTCTTTGACAGATCGGGTTATCACAAATTGCCACAGTTTAAAAACAACTATAGTTATATTAGTGACTAAAATACACTCAAAACTTTTTATTTAAAAAAATTTATTTGCTTGCAAAAATCATTTAAACTTTAAAATTACTTAAAAAGTGAAGTGACCCAAATAATTTGGCAACCCACTGTATATGGTTTGTAAGAAAATTGGTCGCAACAAAAAAGTTTTTAACAAAATGTTTTCTCGACCTTTGATTGTGGCCTCTGTAAGCCTACCCAATACTTGTGGAATGCAGTTCTAATTGATAATATCATGGTTGTTTATAAGTTTAAACATTTTAATGAGATTGCTGTTTTCTCTTCTATTTGATAGATTCTGTAAGCCCATTTCTTTTAATCTTTGCTTGTAACTTGCTCCCTTTCTTTTGTAGCCAATTTTTGCGGCTTCGTGTTTTTTCGATAAAATTTATATCTTTATTAAAATATGAATTCCATATTTAAGATGCATATTCGAAGAAGCATTTGAAATTTTTGAAAATATTTCGAAAATTTAGAAAATAACTAAATAAATAAATCACTCTACACAGTTTGATCTTGACATCTTATTCAACTGGAAAAAAAAAGGCTAATCAGTTTTAATAAGGATAAATGTGGAATCATGCAATTTGATCTAAAATAAAGTACACATTGATATATATAATGCTACAGAAAATGATATCATTTTATTTTACAATAGTACAAGCTTCCTTCTTCCTACTTCCAATGAGATATTTTATTGATTGCTTGTAAAAATGATTGATAGATCAGTTCTCTTCATTGACACACTTAATAGCTTCAGCAGACTGTGAAAATCAGTGGCGAGTTTTAGGGGGGGGGGGGGGGCATGGAGGTAGTTGCCCCCCCCCCCCTCATTGGGATTGACTATTATAGGTAATTATACATATATGAACTTGATTATTACACTAAAGTACAAAAAGTTAAAAAAGAAAGTCACTTTAAAGTGAAAAAATCCAGACCTTTTTTTTAAAAAACCATTTTAGCCACCTCCTTGGTGAGTGACAAAACCCACCCCTGGTGAAAATATTGAGGTTTGTATGAACAATATTACATATATTAGGAATATATGTAATATTGTATACTAAATATACTGAACACAAAAAAGTTTATACATATTTTAAACAATATTAAATCTAAAGTTCCTAAACAACAGCAATAAAAATAGCAATTAAGATTTACTACAACCTTATTGTTGTTGGTTTAAATAAATGGAAACATATTAATATAAATGTTAAAATTTAATAAATGTTATATGACAAAACAAGTTAAATAACATGTTTGAAATAATAAACTAACTTTAAGATGTTTAAAACAGGCAAACAAGAAATAAAAATTAATTTGGATAACTCTTTAATGTTTTTTTTTCTTTTAAAATCTATTGTTTAACTTTATCTACCCAAAAAAGAAAAAAGAAATCTTACATCTCTAGTAAAATGACCAGTATAAGAACTTTTTGAAGGAAAGCAAACTGGAAACACTCTTTCCCTTACTACTTTATTTCTTGACAAAGCATCTTTAATACGGTTTGAGAATTGCACTCTTCTAAATTTAGTATCCTCAGCAATCTAAAACAAAGTTTATTTTATTAAGAATTAGCATAAATTAATTGGTTATATTTTAAGTTGATGCATGTATGTCTTGAATAGTTAATATAGGACTGACTGAAATCTCATTTCAATAATATAAATTAAACAAACAAAGAAATAAAACCTTAAAACTTGGGAACTTTTAAACTTTCTAAATTTTTATTTGAAAACTACAGTTAAATTTCTTGGTGACCAAGAAATTAAAATATAGCAAATAGCTTTTTGAAAAACTGTGATCTGATACCTATCAAGAAAATTAGACAAAAGAACAAAAATAAAAGGTTTAGACATATAATCATTAAATACAGGAGCTATTTTGGAAACAAATTGATAAAGAAAAACATATTATAATAATAAATGAATTTTATAAACTTCTCTAGAAGAGGTTTTTCTATCATTCCCGTGCATACAATCAAGCACTTTACAATGTAAAGAGCTTGATTGTAATGATGTAAAGTGCTTGATTGTAAGGATGTAAATTACATCCTAAAACCATAAAGGGAGAACCATTAAATGATATTGAATTATCTTATTTTGTGGTGTTTTGCAGAAGAATTTTTAAAGATAACAACAACAACAAAAATTTTCAATAATAACTATACAAATATAAAAGAAAATTAAAATTTAGCAATTGCATTTTAAAAACACTTAATTAAAATTGTCATACCCATATTTCCAGAGTTTTTAGCAGCACTATAGCATGAAAATTTTGACACAGCCTCTGTTTCGTAGCTATGTATCAAAAAAAGTACTTCAACGTATGTTTCTACAGTAACCCAACTTCCTTCTTGAGAAATAACAACTAAAAAAATTTAAACAGTAACAAACATTCAAACGTGGAAATTGATACTTCATTTAAGACGGCTGTTTCAGAGTGGACATACGGCTTCTTGTTATTTTTTGAAAATAATTACTTAGGGGGTGTTACTAAAACTTTCATAACTTTTGAAATATTAAAGATAAATACGTTCTGTAAAAGGAATATGAACACTGACTAAATGTTTTATATTTTATTATTCAATATAATAATCCAAGGCTGCTCTGATTTTTAAATAAACGCGCAAAAAGACGAACTTGGCAGAATTTCGAAATTTTAAAGGTACTTTTTAGCAAAAATAATCAGAAAAATTATATTTCTGTTGACTAATATATTTCTGTCTATAATATATTTCTGTTGACTAATATGTAATATAAACATAGTTAGACCATTTATAAAACATATTAACATTATTTACACTGAATGCAAACGATACAGGCACTACAATAGACGAAATAAAAAAATCGCAAAAATTTTTTTTTTTTTTTTTTAAAGATTTAAAACAAACAAAAAGAGTTTCGAATTATTTTTGCTTTCGGTCGTAGAATAATTTCCTGACACTTAGATCGATATTACAATATTAAAACTTTTCTGTGGAAAAATAACACATTTTTTATAAATATACATAACAATATAGGCAATTTAAATAATTTGATAAATATCGTTTTGGTGGATTGACATAAATAATTTTTTTTTCAGTTAATATATTTATATATGTTCTATAAGTAGTAAACGATCTTTGTATGCAATTGATACTAGTTTTATTTCCATTCCATATGGAAAATACTCTCCAAAATCTTACTGACTTCTTATGTTAAATGTTGGCGCTTCATGCTTCTTCTGGGGTAAGGTTTAACTAATGATGCCCCATCCAACAAATTATGATGGTTCGTATTAGTTGTCGTTTATTCATGATTGAAAATTTTCTTTATGATCTGACTGAAACAAACTGTTATGTAACTGCTAAGACTTATTAGAATCATTTATTTTGTGGATTCTCATAAGCAAGAAATTTTTTTAGTTATCAGTTGGTCCAATGATTTGTTCTTAAGGTAGTATTAACACTCTTTGTACACGCAGTTAGAACTATGTTGTATCCCATTCTTTCACCAGAAAGACAAAATTCTTTATGATGACTGAAACTGTAATGCTTACGTAACTGTTGAAGCACATTCGAACTAATTTCTAAAGATAAGAATGGAAGTTAATTAAATACAATTAGTTTTTTAATATTATAATTGAACTTGATGGCCACAAATAAGACAAAGACCTTTTCTATAAAACGATTTTTCGCCATGCTCTGAACACACAACACACTTTCTTACTTTAGCAGCTTGAAGCTTTCTATCAGCTTTGCTGTGCAATTCAAAGCGTTTTAAAACAAGACGCAGCTTCTGTTCCTGATTCCTTACTGAATGCAACTGTCTTAATTCCTGATTAACGCCGCCATGCAAACTCTCTCCTTCTTCTTCATTCAGCAATCCAATAGTTTTATGCGATTTAACAAATAGTGGCACATTAAAAGTGAGTTCATGCATTTTTCGCGTAATACTTTCATTAGGAAAGCAAGCATGAAACTCACAAGCAAATAAATCTGTATATTGACATAGCTCAATAACTTCGGCATCGGAAAGAAATTTTCTCTTAAAATGAATCGGCTGCAACTTATTGAAAACGCTAAACACACGCAAAAACTTATTTCTAATTGCCGCATCATCAATAACACTACAAAGTTTTAAGTGGTTTCTTAAAACTATTTTGCAATGATTACCAACAAATACATTACCATGGTAAGTTTGCCGCTGAACATTCATATCATCAAGAGCCTGCAGAAGAGCCTTCTCATGAGTGCCCATGTCGCTTCTTGATTTTTTTTCAAGATCCGCGCATTCAATCTGCAATCGTGTATACTCATAATCTAAAATTTCGCGTTGTGCACGCATAAAATAAATTTTTTCTGAGATATACAGATGAAGATCTTCTATATCTTCACCCTGACAAACTAAACATGCATAATTTTTTATGTCACACAATACACTTTTTTCAGAATCACCAATAATTTCACAATATTGATGAAACCACTCTTGACACGTACCACACTGCACCCAATCGATGTTAGAATCATATTTTGTAATTAAACACCTAATGCTAGCACAATTTTCTGACTTTTTAATACTGATTTTTTTATTGGAGGAGTTTAGTGATATGGATTCTAATTCAGAAAAATCATTTTTATTACTGGCTATCCATCGAGCCTGTAGATTTATTATATCTACAAACTGTTTCCCGATTAAACGCAAGGCTGCTGTTGTTTTAGAAAATTCAACGCTTTTAGCGGCCCACATTTCACTTGTTTTCACAGCTTCATTATTAGATAAAGATGAATCAAAATTTAAATCTAAAGTTTTACATTCCTTCAATAACAATTTATACAGTTTTAACACTACTCCTAACATAATATGCAAAACAGGAGGCACTACATTATCTAAAGATATTATGGCGAAAATCACAGGAGAAACAACTGAATGATGGAACTTACCTAAAGCTCTTAGGTTTCCACCTTGTCTATTTTCACACAAATTCTCATTGTAAGCACCTTCTAGAGATTTTATTGTTCTCCTTATGATGTTACAATTAGCAGGTGTGTGAGTCATGGAGTCATGGCTTCTTAGAGAATTTAATTCAACTAGGTCTGTAGAACTAGGAAAGCTAGCAGCTGAACCCTGGTGTCCCAGAACATCATCGATGAAATGAAAATCTCCACCTAAGAACAACTTAATTTTTTTGCCTTTTAGTGTGAATTGGGACGACTGAATTCTTTTAATGTCGTTGGCATAATGCCCAAGAATTAAGGCAATATTCTCACGACAGTCTGAACCCTGGTACATACAAAACAAATGAACATCATACATAGACCCAGATGATTTAGAATTGACAACTTCAAAATGGAATTTCATATATGTCCCACCCTTATCGCCTGCAAAAAATAGCCATATTTCATTATCAAAACCGACATCAACGTTAAGGTGGTCGCGAATTTGAAGATTGTTGTAAACCTCTTCAATATAAGTTGTCAAACTCTTAACCATTAATACAGATACTAAACAAGGGGCTTCATTCGCAGATGGATAAAGCAACATGGACTTTACAGTGACATGATCTTTATCGACATGCATTGTCCGCCTTTCTTGTTCTTGTCTAATCTTGGGATCAGATGGAAGAACCCTTGCACCAAGATTACACAGAATACGCCTAAGCTTACGAAATTCAGCCGTGGGCATCCTTAATTGACTCTGAAGCTCTACAGCATCTGAAACGCTTAACTGTGAAACAAAACCTAATTTATTTCCAACACAATGCAATACTGACATTTCACGAGACAGGACATCACATAACAACATACACAAATCACTTTTCACATCTGAACCAGCTAACAATTGAAGGAATATAACGGCAACCTTAGATCGCCTAGCTGCACTACGCCTACTTAACTTCGAATATTGTTTAGCACAGCTTAACTTAATATAAATATGTTTTTGAACAACTATTGGGTCATTAACTGATAGATTTTGTGGCTTAATCCACTTAAACCCAGAAAACAATTCAGAAGAACCTATGTTATCATAGTCTAAATATGAATCCACAACAATTAAATTCTTACCGCTAACCAAACATTTGCAAATTTGGCGACTGTTCTGGTTTATGTTAACTTTTACGCTTTCTTTTGCAATTTTAATTTTTTTTTAGCAATTTTGAATTACAGCTACGAGCAGATGCAAATTTACGATGTGCTGTTTTAAGTTGTCTTTTTAAAATAAGTTGGAACTGCTCCTCCTCTCCTAGTCTAATACTCATAGTCTCTACTTGAGAACTTAATGAGTTACAATGTGTGTCAAGAGTCTTGTTTTTAGAATTTAAATCTGTAATTTCAGTTTCCAACTTTATTACCTGCATTTTTAATTTATTTATTTGCTCCACATATGTTTCTTCTTTAGAAGTTAATTGGTCAACTTGACTACTTAGTTCCTTATTCTTATTTAAAATTGAAAAATATTCTGCATCTGCTGATTTTCTTTTTTTGGTTTGTGAAGCTGGAGACAGTTGCATATTAAAAAATGCTTCGTTTTTTGAAGCTTCATAAATATTTTTAAAACGTTTTTTTTTTCTTTTTAATTTTATGCACATTTTTTCAAAGTCTTCAATAACTGGCAAATTAAACTCAATTGGCAAAATAAAATTTATAAAACTAAACAATGTATTAGATTGAAAGACTGTAAGTAAAATTGAAATCACGTTGTTGGTGATTTTATCAGTGTTCATTATTCGCTTAATAAAAGGAAAGTTACATTCATTTTCCCAGCTATTTTCCCATCCAATGTATTGTATTAATATGTCCCTTTCAGTAGAATGCATAGTGACAAAATAACTTCTCAATAAAAATATAAAACAAACAAATAAAATCAAATAATAATTATTGACAAATAACAAGTATGCAATTGATATCAGAAGATTAAACAACTTATCTGATGTTTGTAGATTAGCCACGAGAGAAAAAAACCGCCAAAGTTTGTTTTATTTATACACTAAAATTTGTCTCGCTAAAAAAGCTGTTTTTAATAATTTTTATTTAATAGTGAATTGGGAAGTAACGCATTTAAAGTTACGTCATTACTTTAAAATGTAAACAAAAATTTTTCGCATGTAACTACAAATTTTGTTGCTAAAAGCAACAAGCTTTGTCAAGGTTGAAAACGTTTTAGTAAGAAGTACAGAAAGTAATTTTTTTGATTTTCATATGCATAAAGGGTTGTAATTTCAATATTTTGGTGAACTTGGGAAAAATATAACGTTTTTCATATAAAACAAGTAATAACAAAAATATAAAAGCTAAAAAATCTAACTTAATTTTTTTTTTTTATCCATGTTCACCAAAAATCTGATAAAATAGACATTCGTTTATAAGTATGAAAAATTTCAATCATAAAGCATGTAGCTTAAAATATCTAATCTTGATTGGCCCAAGACAGGTTTTCATTAAAATACGCAAAAAACAGAAAAGTGATCCCAAATCATTAGCAAAATTTTTACAACTTTTATTTTTATTCCGTTTAATCAGAATACTTATTTAACAAGGAAAGATAGATGTTTCATTTTTTTTTTATTAGAACACAAAAGCTTTTATAGAAAAAAAAAACCACTACTTTAAAGTTATTGAATTTTTATACGAAATTTTTAAAAAACTCTTTATGCGGAAATTGTTTTTGCTAAACTCGTGACGTAATGCCCAATTTTACATTGCGTGAAACAGCCGTGTTAAAGCGTAGAGGAAATTCCTTTTAAGACAAAAAACTTTAAATTATGAATATAAAAAGCTTATATTATATTACTCGTTTTAAAACATTCGGAATGTTTTTAAATTTTTAAATTTCTCAGGAATGTCATTCCTGAGAAATGTTTTTAAACGAGTAATAAAACAAACATCAACATAAGCTTTTTATATTCAAAATTTAAAAAATTTTGTCTAAAAAAGTTAAAATGTCTTGTATTACCTCTACTCAATGTTGTTTTTTCTAATAAATTTAAATTATTATTATCTCTAATAATAATTTTTTTACCAATTTAAATTTAATCTTCGACGATAACCAGGTGAAAACGTGCTCCACATTTAAAGAGCATTAATTAATTCATAAATTAAATTATAAATTAAATAAATGCAAAAATTAATTATGTTAACTCTGGACGTGAAGCGGGACAATTGCGGATCATTTTACGGGACCTAACTTTACGCAATGGAATCATGTACTTACCAGAAAAAAGCAATCGTAATGTTTAAGCATGGTTTCTTTTAAATTAATTGCAAATGCATTAGGCAAAAACCATGCTAAAACATAATTATTATCTTGGATTGGATACTTACTTATTTTACTAAATAGTAACACAATTGAAAGAAATAATCATGTTTTAGCATGGTTTCTTTTAAAGTCTTTAAAATGTGTTTTAAATTTTAGTAACTAATTGTTTTTTATCATAAAGATGTTTTTTATAATAAATAATCAATGACATAATTACTTGGAAAAAAATCGCTGAAGTAAAGCGTGTGTTTTTAAAAATTCTAAGCAAATGCTTTTGTTTGCATATGCAAAAATATAGAAACGTGACGTTCATTTTTCTTTTTAACAAAAGTTTGCACTTTTTATACACACGTAGATTTGTCGCGCTATGCCAAGCATATGTTTATTACATTAATATTACAAGAATATATACATAACAAAGTATAAAGAATACTTTCATGCTGCAATAAATGACACTTATTGCAGCATGAAAATATTCTTTATACGAGCGTTGTTTTTACTGCTTTTAAAAAAAGTTTTATTTTTTCTAATTGTAATAGAATGCAGGCATTTTGAGAATTATTAAAAATAATTGTTAAAATGACTGCGTTTTTTATTTTAGTTACATTGATAATTATACTTTAGAGAAAAAAAAATATACTTTTGCGAGAGCCTTAAATTGCTCCCCTAAACCGTTTTAGGGAAGTGTGGGCGAGAGCGAGAGATATAGCTCTCGCTTCCTGCCGCTTCCTATATATATATATATATATATATATATATATATATATATATATATATATATATATATATATATATATATATATATATATATATATATATATATATATATATATATATATATAATATATATATACACATCATATACTGTCAGGAATAGGATTACGGTTCTTTAGTGAAAGGTTATATAAAAACCGTTTTAGGGAAGTTTTAAACCGTTTTAGGGAAGTGTGGGCGAGAGCGAGAGATATAGCTCTCGCTTCTCGCTTCCTATATATATATATATATATATATATATATATATATATATATATATATATATATATATATATATATATATATATATATATATATATATAAAATATATATATACACATCATATACTGTCAGGAATAGGATTACGGTTCTTCAGTGAAAGGTTATATATAATGTCGTAACAGCACTTAAAAACCTTGAATTGTTAAAGAAATTCACCGGTATTAAGCCTAGAATATCACTGCACCCACTGTGCACCAGAGAGACCGCCAGGTTTTATATCGTGGCACTCAAATAAAACCTTTTTTATATATATATATATATATATATATATATATATATATATATATATATATATATACAATACATATATATATATATATATATATATATATATATATATATATATATATATATATATATATATATATATATATATATATATATATATATATATATATATATATATATATATATACAATATTGGACAAAACATTTGCAACCAACATCGAACAATGCTAAAAAGTGTTCCTAATTTTACATGTCTTAAAAACGAAACGAACTATACTACCACAGCAAACAGTTCAGGAGTCTGGAGTCATAGCATGCCATGACATGAGCAATCAGCTGACAGGTGACAGCACACAGGCAGAATTTTGTTGACAAGTGCCATTTTGCAGCGGACAAAACAAGTGCAACATTTTTGGTTTGTTTCATTTCCTTAAGTCTGGTCCGTGTCAACGTCACGGAAGTTTTTTAATAATTATAGGAAGTATCCAGAAGTTTCCAGAAGTTTCCAGAAGCATGCAGAAGCATCCAGAACTTTCCAGAAGAAGCATCTGGAAGCACATCCAGAAGCATCCAGAAGCATCCAGAAGTATCCAGAAACATTCAGAAGCATCCAGAGGCATCCAGAAGCTTCCAGAAGCTTCCAGAAGCATCGAAAAGAAGCATCTAGAATCTTCCAGAACAGGTTCACACAGGTTCATTTTACTATATAAGAGACATGTAAACCGACATGTAATTCAGTCAGTATATGGAAGTCAATCAGTCAGTATTATCAAGACAGTTTATCGAAGTGAGTTTGATCAAAGTGTTTTATCGAAGAACATCAATACAAGAGGTGAAATACAACAAGTGTTTCATTACATCAATACAGTCCACATCCAACATCCAAGACGTTGTGTTCCACAGAGCATTATTGTATCATCACAAGGTAAATTTAACACGGTAAGCCTTGAGAAGCGTGATTATTTATTTTTATTATTTTTATGATAATTTTGTGATTATTTATTTTTATTATTTTTATGACTTCAAGTGCAAAAATGGCTCCCGACAGTCTTGGATTGGAACTAAGAAAGAAAATTATTGGCGATTACGTAAGTGGAATGTCACAAAAAAGTATTTGTGATAAATATCGCGTGAAAAAATGGACCGTATCAAAACTATGTTCCAAATATCGTTCTGCGGGGAAGTTGACAGCAGATAACAAAGGTGGAAGACCGCGTTCCACCACTTCTAGAGAGGATTCTATGATCGTCAGATCCGTCAAGAAGGATCCCTGGATATCATCAGTCGAGATACAAAAGCAATTAGAGCTGCCTGTATGGACCGAACAATCAGACGACGTGCTGTTGAAGCCGGATTGTTTTCTCGACGCCCTGCAAAGAAACCGCTGATTTCACTAAAGAACCAGAAGAAAAGACTCCTGTTTGCTACATCTCACATTGACTGGAATGTGCAGAAATGGCGAACTGTCCTGTTCAGTGATGAATCGAAGTTCAACATCATTGGGAGCGATGGCATTTGCCGTGTACGTCGACTGGCCAGAAAACACCTCAATTTACGTTACTGCCATAAGACCGTGAAGCATGGTGGAGGCAATGTAATGGTCTGGGGGTAATTTTCTGCTAACGGTCTAGGTCCAATACATCGAAACGATGGAATAATGGACCGTTTCATGTATAAAAATATCCTGAAAGAGCTCATGCTGAATGGAATATGCCAATAAAATGGGTTTTTCAGCAAGACAACGATCCGAAACACACTGCAAAAGTAGTCAAGGTTTCAAGACAACCACCTATCGGTGATGGAATGGCCGCCTCAATCTCCGGATCTCAACCCTATCGAGAACCTGTGGGAGATCGTCAACCGCAGAATTAATCGTGAAGGTGTTCGTAATAAGGATCAACTGTTTGAACAAATCCAAAAGGCCTGGGCAGCGATTCCATAAAGTTTCATTGATTACCTGATCGAATCTATGCCTCGAAGATGCAAGGCTGTGATCGACAACAAAGGATTTGCCACGAAATATTGATAGCAAAATACAGCTTGGTCAACATTTTGTGGAGTTAAACTTGTTTTGTCCAGAAGGAAATCAACTTTTTTTAATACTTTTGACTAATTTATTAATTTTTGTGTACAAATAATGAACTTTGTAATGAATAAAACTTAAAGAACTTTGTCTCTAAACAGTTACATAGTTATTTCTCTAAATTGAAAAAATGCAACACTTTTATATAAAAAAACTAAATTAGCAATATTTGTTTGCACTTGTTTTGTCCGATACTGTATATATATATATATATATATATATATATATATATATATATATATATATATATATATATATATATATATATATATATATATATATATATATATATATATATATATATATATATATATATATATATATATATATATAAAGAAAATAAAATTCTTTTTGCTCCAAGATCAACTACTGCTGATAATAGTCTATCACCATGTTCGGAATGCTCTTTTTGCCTCTTAAACCTTGTCATTGTTGGTTTAAACTTTGCATGAATACTTTCTCCACATTGTTCAGCAAAGCTACTCAATCCTTTTTATGGTGTTCCACATATGGCTGCACCTGACACAGTAGAATGTAGACTTTCCATGTTGTATTTAACTGTTTATTTAAATTTATTGCAAGTTCTTGTGCGGAAAGAAATGAATTCTTTAAATTTGGTATTGCTTCTTTGAAGCCAGTTTGTAATTTGCTAGATAAGCAACAATTTTTTACATTTCTAAAATCTTTCAAACACTTAACAATTGGAATCAAACAAGTAAATGTTTCTAAAATTTAAGTTTCAAGAGAATCCAGATTTTCTAATATTTTGTTCGAATTGTTTCCGTCCCAGCCTCTGCCTTGGTATCTTCGCTGAATAACATTTTTTGACTTTAGCCAATCATAAAATCCTGGCCAGACATCTAAAAAAAAATTTCCAAGCAGTGAAACAAAACCAATTAACAAATGAAGTTCAGGTGGAGGAACGAGTTGTTTAGTTAAAGTATTTGGATCTAAATTAATATACAAAATTCGAGAATTCATGCAGTTCATAAACTCTTGAATGGATAATTTTACTGAGTTATTTTCTAAATATTTATTATACCAATAATCAATACTGCCACGGTTTCGTTTTGTCTCTAAATTTAATGTGGATATATACCTTCACACCATAAACAAGGTTTTTTCCCAGAATGTCCTGATAAACCAAACAGCGCGTTTCCACATTTCAAGTCAAAAGCAACATAAAAACTGACACCTTGCAAATTTAATTTTTCTATAACAAGTCTCAAATTAGATTTAGATTCAGGAATATCTTCAACAATAGCTATAAATTAAGACCGTTGAACAACACCATTTAAGTACTCGTCTGACTCATTATCTTTTTGATAATCAAAGACATTGATGATTACTTTAAAAAATAAACCTCCACCATCCAATAAAATCTTTAGAAAGGCTGAAGTAGGTTCTAAACCACGTAATTTTAACAATTCAAGTACAAAATCTCATGTATTTTGAACATATATGTTCAAAATACAT